ACACGTTTTTTCATTTAAATTAAAAGCACATTAAATGATCACAATTGCGGGCTCGTGTTATATTCGATTATGAATGACTACACGGTGTAAATATTGGCCCTATATTATATTCTTATCTATTAGATAATAATTTTTATTTGATCTGGATAAGGATATAATAAAAATATTTACGTTTTTCCTGAATCTTCCGTTGCAATTGTAACATCGAATATCTGATTGTCATTTCAGTTTCTATTATAATCGAATACTGCGCAAACTCATCTGAGTAATGACTTGTAATCATTACCATTTGATGTGCTTGTGATTTTATTGGAGAAATCGTGTGGAACTCGTTGTGTACAATACATATAAGTATTTTTTGAAATAAATAAATGAATTATAATAAATTATTAATAATAAACCCAATAATAAATCTCGTTTTATGTTATAGAATGAAAAGGAAGAAGCGCATATGAAATATGCGCCCAAAAATTAGGTGTAAAACAACTGGCAATTTATTAAATATAATATATTAAAATTAGTAACGGAACGTTTCGACTTAACTCAGTCATCTTCAGCCGAATAAATAGAAAATTAACATAATTTTTTCTTAGTTCAGCTAAAGATGACTAAGTCAAATCGAAACGTTTTGTCTCTAATCTTAATATATTATATTTAATAAATTGCTAATTGTTTTTCACTTAATTTTTGGTGAAAAATTCACTTTGTTTCATCTGACTTTTTCTCCTTTTTATTCAATAAATTGTAATAATTAGGAAACAGATTTTCTGTTTTAGAAAAAGTCATTTAGATTTAAGGAATATTTTATAGTTTAAAATATATTTTTTTACATGTAATTAAGGCTTTTCTTAGTGTAAAAAGTGGTTATTTAACTTCAAAGAAACTAAATTTAAATATAAAAAAAAATTCTTGTTTTTAAAAAAATAAAACAAATTTATTTTAAATTTTTTAAATGGTCAAACTTGTTTGTATGTAAGAAAAATATTCAAAATTTAGGTTAACATTTTCTCATTTTTATGTTCAAAATTTAAATAGTAAAAAATAAAAGGTATAATTCAGTACATAATAACTATATTGTAAAAAAAATCATTTTTACAAATTAAGAATAATTTATTTAATAGAAAAATCATTGTCTTAAATTAAATCAATATTACTATAAAATTAGTAATTTTTAAAAAATAGGATTTATATTTCAATAAATATTGACTATAATGTACAAAATAATTCTTACAATTAATGATTTTTTTACTTGATAAAAAAAATATTTTCTTGAAATTAAAAAATAAAAATTATATTTCAATAATCATTGATTGTATTATACAAAATACTTGTTATAATTAATAAATAATTTCTTTTAAAATGGAATTATGTTCTTCAAATAAATACATGTATTTTCTTATTTTAAAAAAATGCGTTCACAGTTGTATGCAAACTAACGATTTACTAAAATTAAGGAAGTAGTATAGCTATGGAAGTTCTGATCCAGGAATCTGAGGATGTGCGCGGGTGAAGGGGGGAAGAGGTTGAGGAAGAGGGGGTAATGACGTCATCGTTTTGGAGGAGAGGGGGTAATGACGTCATCGTTTTGTAGGAGAGGGGGTAATTTCGGAGTGGAGGGGGCGACGAGGGAGGTGCGGGGGAGAGGGGAAGGTATCGGATTACATCAATTCCTGGAAGAGATAAGATAAGGATTGTTTATATAAACATGAGTCATATAGAGATAAGGATTGTTTATACAAAGGGTATCGGATTACACTGCGTCAGCACTTTTGGAGTGGAGGGGGTGACGAGGGAGGTGAGGGGAAGGTATCGGATTACATCAATTCCTGGAAAAGATAAGATAAGGATTGTTTATATGTATAAGCATGAGTCATAGTTTTAAGAATTATTATACCCAGGGAGAAACACAAGATCGGATATACGTCTATTAGATGTCGGAGCCATCTAGTCTAAAATAATGTCTAGAAATATCTAAATTAGATGCCATGTAATTTTGTGTCATTTATTTCCCTATACAAAATTAAAACTTAATATTTACACAATAGCGATGTATTGTTTATCAAACACTGTTTAGATTACAAATTATCTTTCGGCATCTAATAGATGTCTAATAGACTTCTAACAATAAGTAAATTATTAATGCAATAT